ACAATGTATAAACAAATGTTGCAAACGTGGATCTTTTGCATACTAGTGTGCGTAATTATACCAAGTCGCAGTGTTTGTGCCCCATCAGAGAACAAGACAACCCAGAATACATTATATGAGGCTGTGGTCAGCAAGTGTCCCAGTTTAGGAGTAACTGATCTATATAAGAACTGGAAAGATTTGTTTGATAATCAGTGCTCAAATTTTACGGCTATCAATGCTACAACAGAACTCACAAAGAAGGAACTTCCCTATGTCAGATGCAAAGTTTTATACGAAAGTATTATGGAATTCTGTTCGTCAAACTTAGAAAGCCTTGAAGTAGTGAAGTTGAAAGGATTCATATCCCTCTCTAACGACATGAAGTGTGATTTATCAGAAGTATGCAATGATGAAACAGGATTACCTGCCCTAGAAAGCACTCCAAATAATGTTTCACACTTAATGAAAAAATTTAATTGTGTGTTAATATGCAGCATTGTTGGAAGCAATGGACCTGAAGTTACAGATATTTGTAAGCTTGCATATTTTTTCAAGTCAATTGATGTGAAAGAATTAAATAGTAATCGAATGCAGTTGCATGGAAACATTAGGTCCTCTCCAGCACCACAACACAAAAACGAAACACTTCCCGGACCAATAAAAGTGATCGCATTTAAACCGTTGAACCAAAGTGTACGCGGTCCCGTAGATAGTGAAATACCAAAATTGCCTGAGGCGAATAAAGACAATGTTGTTAAAGCACAGGAATCTCCCATAGTTAATAAATCAAACATTGATGTAAAACCTGTACCTAAACCAGAAGAGAATGCACCTGCTGTTCAACCGCAGCTCATTGTGCCTAATTCGTTAGAAAATGCAGCTGATGATGAAAACCAGAATGTGAAAAGTGAAGATAATTCTGTTGGAGACCCAGGTGAACAGAATATGAATATTCAAAATAAGTAAGTACCCTGACATCTAAGTAAACAATTTGCTTTTATAAACATACTAAGGTTTATGTGTGTGCCACTGTAAACTCTCTCAGGATCGGTTTAAAATCTCAATTGGCTTCAACTTACGTCTTTAAAGGCTTACCTATTTATTTAAACGCCAAGAGTGAAACTCTTTCTTGGAGGTAGTTGTTCCATTTATAAATGTCTTCAGTAATATAATATAATATTGAAGATGTCCAGTAAAAGCCTGCTTTATTTGCATATTGCAACAAAATACATCTTTTACGAATGTTTGTTTGCAATAAAAAAGCTTAAACTTAAAACAGTAAATTATATTACTTTAATTTTTTCGGTAATTGAGTAAGTACCCTAGGTGCGCTTTTAAAAATATTATTTCAATATACGAAAGTATTGGGTTTTTTTCCATTTTCGGATTTACATTAAAATTTTCAGAAAATAAATAAAAATTTGTACATCTGCTGGTTCCACAGAAATCATAAACGGTACCGTATCACTGCGAATTTGAATATTAGGTTCCTGGAGCTCCAAGAGGATCTAATAAGCTACGTGCTTACACGTATTTTAATTTATAAAAAGTTCTCCAGAAACCGCCCATTGAGCCTCCAAAGTTGGATTGTCTTTAATCCTCAATAACTAGCTTATTTCAAACAAAACCCCCCAATTTTTTTGGGGTTTTCTGATGTATTGTTCTGGGTTTTCTGATATAAATTTTTGTATCTAAATGTGGTGGTGTTTTATCCTTAAAATTTAAAAAATTAAAATTTAATGTTTATTTTGATCAAATCCCGTACTGTATTGGAAACTAATCTTAAAATGCGTCCTTTTTTATACACCAAAACCTTCATAGGACACATTCATATAAAATTCATGGTTACTGCGACATTGCACTGCGACGCACTAAAGAACAGGGTTGCTCTAGCTGATACACTCATCGAATTTAAATAAATTCTGGCGTGATGGAAAAGACGATCGGACACGCCGATTGGCATTTTCAGTTGCGCATTTTTTCTATCCTAAACTTTTTATTCAGAGTGTGTCATATCAGTGGCTATAACCATTTTTTAGTGCTAAATGAAGCACCCACAAAGTATATTGTGAAAGTTAGTAGTTTTCACAAATATCTAGTCATACGTATCTCACGTGCAATGCAATGCCTATCTTCAATTGTTCCAGAATGTTTTCAGATTTATGACAAACATTAACGTTAATAACAGAAAATTATTTTATTGCATAAAAACCCCGTGAAATTATCAATACTTTTTAAAAGTAATATGAATAATAAATCAAATGTTTTAGTAAAAACTTATTTGTATATTTTTATAAACCATTTTAATATATTTTCAAACTACAGATTGTAAATATTGTAGCAATAAAAAACTTAGTTTTTTTAATATCATGTTTTCTTCTGTAATTAAATAATGGCATGATTTAAAGCTGAGTCACTATAAGCCAAGCCAGTGGCCCAAACACTCTCCAAAAGCATGGCATCCGTGATAAGAAAATTCAGCTTCATAGAGAACTTGAGTATTTGTGACCTTGTATACAATTTTTTTAAGCAACCCCTTAGTGAGTTTAGTGTGAACAACTTTAACTAAAAACTACAAGGAAAAATCTGAAAAAAATAAACACTAAATTAGATCATGTTTCATCATTATCAATAAAATATTTTAAATTTTTTTAAAGTGATGTCGGAGTAGCAGTCGATGTTAGTGATGAAGTAGCACCAGGTGATAGTGATACTAAAGATGATGACAAAGACCAAGGTGAGCAGCCAGATGAAAATGGTTTTCCTGCAGAATCTGATGTTGATTTAGGAAAAGCAAAATCCAGTGAGTTTGATTTTAAAATTCTGTTCTAGATTAAMCAGCARAACCTATCAAAATGTTAATATTTTTTCACATCGATGGCTATTCCCAAACTTATTTAAATCTCCATTATTCTTGGCTTGCTAATTTCTTCAAATATTGCTTTGGTTAGACATTATTTGAATAGTTTTTAGAGTTTATTACATTGATGTAGAAACACATTAATGCGGAATTTTAAAACTCAAGTTCTTCGCCAACAACAAAGGAGCCAAATACTGGAAACAATAAAACCATGATTTTATTACGTGAAATATACAATTGTTCTCCCAAATCATTTAATCCAAAACGTTTATTATCTTCAGAATAATGTATTCAATTGAATGATGTAAACATCTTATTTATAGCACCATATTTCGGACGTGTTTTACGGTGTAGAAAATCTGAAACGATACACATAATATTAGGAAGTTTATCGAATTAAAACGTTTTCATTTTAAAATTTAAATAAGTGATTTGAAATTTAGAGTCCTCAACATGTAATTATTTGAGAAAGTCTTTTTTGCAAACCATATCAGGTCAAAGCTGAAAAAGTCTCAATTTTTCGATTGTTTTGAAATTTGGCTTACTTACACAGTATTGCAATTAGACACCAACTTAACACTGACTAGATTACCCTCTTTGAATACCACCTTTTCCAGCAAATATCTTTATATTTACCAATTTTTGGGTTTGAATTTACTTCGGGACTCCACCCTCGGAATTACAGCCTATCATTACGTAATATCATGCAAACGAATACAATTTAATATCAATATAAGTTTAGATGAATTTTTGTTTTCAACAATTTATATAATGTATTAATTGATTATCATAGTGCTAAAACATTTATAATTCTCTAAACATTTTCGTGTGGAGAAACTTAGTTTTATTCATAAAACTCTAATCTACAAAGGAACTTGTTATTAGTAAAAACTTTTATGCTTTAATTACTTTCACAGCGTTAAAACAGTCATCTACTATATCATCTAAAGGAAAGCCTAACACTCTCGATGATGAGCTTATAATCAATATGAACCCTGTAGAAGACGGCATGGATGGAGATTCCTATTTCTTCTCTTATTTCTCTGTGACTATGTGCCTGGTTATAGTTGGATATGTAGGATATCACAATAGACATAAGGTTCGTTTCAATTATGTTGTTAGCCTGTTTAACTTTTTTATAGGACAAATATGTTTTATTTAAAGTGCCTTCTTTCAGATTCTTGCTCTTCTTCTCGAAGGAAAAAGAGGCAAAAGAAATGGAAGATCTGGTAGAAGACCAAATTCTGCCAACTACCACAAACTTGACACTAACCTTGAAGAAGCAATTTCTTCGTCATGTACTAAAAATCCTCCTAGTAATATAATTTATTGATCCACCAGATCAAAATATTATGGCTGAATTAATATTTATGTCCATTTGTATCATGTTCAGGTCAGTTTAACTCTTTGTTCAGATTGAATGCTACACGCAAAATGTTTCTTACGAATAGCCGTATCATTTTGCTATGGTCGGATATTTAAACTTCAAGATAAGAAGAAAAATTCTACTGCTCAAAATTGTAGAGGTGAGTATTTTATTTTTCCATCCTAGATAATCTGATTTTTGTGATATTAAGTCGAAATCATATCACCCACAGAAGGCTTTTTCAAGTATTACCATTATCAATTTGATATATTTCTGCACAGTGCACAGCACATAGCGACTTACTAATGATAAGCAGCAATAAAGAAAGTTGATTTTCAAATATATTTCGATCACATAATTCAAGTTTTTGCGCTTGATTACAGTTCTATAGAATGCTTTTTTTGGTTGTTGTATATGATGCTCCTCTTTGTGATATATCTGTTGAATTTAAGTTTAAAATTATAGGAATACAAATATTTATGTGGGTTTTCCTTTCCTAGTTATGTTGCAACCGTTTAATTTTTATATTTATTGCTTGCTAACGAAGCATTCTGTATAATCTTTGGATTAATAATTTGAGATACTCTTCAGGCATTTTAATAAAAATTATATAGACTCCATAATTTTCAGATGCACTGTATAGCATTTTCTGCATTGCATCTAATTTGCAATTTGTTTTCAATGCTTTTAGATGCTTCTATAATAATAATAAGACTACGATCCAATGGCAGCAATAATTTCTGATATATATATATATTATAGAGAATATAGTTCAAAATTAAAACCCAGACATAAGTAAAAAACAATTTATTTTCAACAATTAGTAGCTAAAAATATGCCAAAAATCACAGTATTTTATAAGTTTCAGTATAATGTACAGCATTATTAAGTATACTTTGGAACTTATTTGAAGTCCTAATTTAACTGAAAAATCTCGAACTTTTATATGTAATTAAAGATATTAGAAATCAAAAACCACAAATGAAAAATGTTGACTTTCTTTGCGTTTCCCTAATCCACAACAAAATTGACCAAAATACAGCATTCATGGTCCCCTGCCTCTGAATACACATTCATATAAAATTATCAATTCTTTTATGTAATATCCTAAATGTAAATGCTCTTTAGCGCAATATAACAGTTCCCTAAAAATTTGTCTTTACAACAACAAACACCCGTAACAAAGCCGAGAGTTTGTTTTTTCCGAATACTATAATATAGCCTCAATGCCCATTGACCATGTGATATATCCATCTGTAGTGACTGTTACGTACGGGTCTCCATCATAAGTATTCGAGGTACTTACCATCTCTCCAAATGTTAATCTAGTTTGATCTAAAAAAAACTTTACGAAGTGCCAGATAGCAATTTTTTAAAATGAATCAATTTTACCTAAATTCCACTTTAAGCCCTTAGAAGTAGCCATACATGGTGCTCCCAATGGCATTAGAGCGCACCATTCCTGTTTTTCTCTTAAACTTTCTGGAATACTAATTCTGTGATTTCCAGGAGGCAATAAAAATGTTATTGAATTTGAAGCTATCTGATAGATTTTTGTATCTTTCATGAATACAGCAGCTTTAAATAACGTGTTTATATTGGCGATTATTTGGTCAAACCGGCCTGATGTGTCAGCCAACACAAATACGGAGTCTATCTGAAAAAATGTTCGTTTCATGTATCCTTAATTGATACTAAAAATATATGAAATTTAGTAAAGAGCATCTTAAACAAAGCACCAGTTTCTACAAATACATGTATTTAAGACAGAAAGAGTTCGTCATTGATATATAGATAAATAATAACACTCACGTTCATTTCTTTTTCGCTACAATACTTTTGGACTTCCCTCAAGGCTTTCGTGTAGTCAGTTTCATTTTGGTCCGGTGTGTGGATCACTTGGGAGTTTCTTTGTTTGAAATATTCGAGCACATCTAATGAAACTGAGTCCAAGTCCCCAGTTATTAAATCTGGGGCGATACTAACGTACTCGTCAGATTCATGAGCCTGCAACCAGTTTAGCCATTTTTCAGTGCCTCCGTCCACGGTTACTCTTAATTTTGCTGAAATAATTTTTTAACTGTTCCACACTCTAACACGTTAACTATGTCGAAGAGATTTTGCAATTCGTTATCCATGAATTATTATCACTTACCATGTGACCATAAATTAAGTATCTGCCTGTGATCTATATTTAAGTTGATTCGGCAGTTTAGAATAACTATTGCGTATATACGGTTTGCAAAATTTTCGAGAACATCTTCACAGGGTGTCCATGTCTTGCAATCATTTTCAGTTGTGCTCATCCTAATTTTTCAGGTGGCTGGAAGAATTCATTTCAGTTACATACGGAATACTTATTGTATTTTATGGTCGAAAAATATTTTTTAGTAGAAACGTTGTGGATATAAATGCATAGGAGAAGGAAATCGAAAGAAAATAATAGCATGCTGCACAGTATAACAGTTTAACTATGACGAAAGAAATAAATTCGCTTAAAATTCAAGTTTTATCTTGTTAATTGAGATGAAACTTTAGAATGAAGCCCTGGCGAATATTTTAGATTTCGTTCATTATTCTTCAGGTACATGTCTCACAGAAGGAACTAAATCTTTCAAACTTCCGACTTTGGGGTAGGAATCTGAAGAGGTGGTTTTTTAAAATTATAGCCATGTTGCATTGCCCAGTTTTTCCTGTCCCACTGAATTACTTCATATCGACAAAGATCGGACTGAGCAAAGTACGTATGAACGCTGTTTACAGAAAGCTTAGTGGTGGTAATTGTTAAAATTCTCGGGTGTGTAAATTGTCTGAATCTTACTAGTTTATCGGCGTTTCTATTTTCTACCAGAACACCGAGAACGGGCAAATAAGCACGCATTTTTTCTTAGCAAATAGTACAACCTTTTTATGTAGTCCCCATCAGTAGTTCCCATCAGTTCCCATTAACGAATAAGTGGCCGAAAGATGACGAAATGTTTCAATCGGGTCTATGGCAGGTACTTATGTCTCAATTCCAATATATGGAGATTGGATTGGCCTACATGATTCTAACACAATTTACAACAAAATGACTGTGATTCTAAAGGTAAACCAAGTCCCGGCGTGGCTTAAGAACTTCGAGAATACATTATATAAGGATTGAAAACCAAATAATAATCTAATAACGGTAAATGAAAGAGAACGATAATCACATTTAAGTACACTTTACCACTTACCTATAAGTGGGTAGAACGATATCCAACATTTGACTAAACAAGTTAGGTACAGTAAATAAGTTAATTATTTATTTAAAGCTAAAAAAATATCTAAATTTTTTTAGGTTAATACCTATCAACATTATCGTGCATTATCCTTCAAATATCGTATCGGCTTTTGTGGTTGTCGATATGAAGGATAAGCATCTATTTGATGACGTATTCTTTCGTATGCGAACGTTTAAAATATGAAATAAATTTTATTTTGCCAGCTTCCATCGAAATGCAACAATTTGTTGACGACAGTTGGTCTCAGCAGAGATAGCTTCTTATCTTATATAAAATTAATTGTACGTACTTTCCTGACTGTGTTTCAATTCCAAAATTAAAATCAAATCCTGGGTTCTTCAGTCATTTATTTATTGTTCATTTATCAAT